AGATTTCAATGACTATTCAAACTTCACTCCATTTATGGTTCAATCGTTTCAGTCATATATTGTCTGCAAATCCAATGCCAGCGCATGACTGCAGTCGAGACTTACGTTAATGACATTCACTTGACATCATATCATACCATACCTTCACTGTCGATGACATCCCAATCACTCATAACTACATTATTAGAGATAATGAGTCACTAAATAATGGCTAAATCGGTGTCATATCTGTCAACACAAGTAAACAAACAAACAAAATAAACACAAGTTATGCAAACATACAGTCCCTTTAAATTTGAAGCAAAAAGTGTGTAGGAATGCCCTCTAATGTGGTGCCCTCTAGTGTTACACGAGTTTTGTTTTGTTGTAAAAGTTTTGTTTTGATAGAAATGTGACACAAGACGGCGCTATGTGTAGAGTTCAGTCATATTATGAGCGGTGTATTGAATACATGAATGCAATGCACTCTCAATAGGGGTTGCAATGAATGTGACGATAGATGGCATACAACGACAGTAAGCCATCGATGGGTGAAAAACACGTGAATTTGAGACTTTTAATATTAACCACACGTTTAGACATTAAATTTGAATTGTCATTTCATTTGATCCTCGAGTGACACATAACTGTAATGTCTGTGCAAACGGATTCAGGTTTCAAAGAAGTCAAGTCCAGAAAAAGGGCGGCTAAACAAATGGACGTCGAGGTGGTGGACACCAATGAGACAACGGGTCCAGAAGTGATGGATATATCGAAACCATTGCCCGATTTTAAGCCTATATCTGAAGACAAACTTAAGGTATTTATTTACAAATTGTCTGTTAATTGATTGCATGAATTAATTGATGTTGTCTTCAGGCAAATAGTCTTGAATTTCGCAAAATAGCGGTTCCGTCGCATCGATACACACCTCTGAAGGAGAATTGGATGAAAATCTTTACGCCAATTGTGGAGCACTTGAAACTACAGATCAGATTTAATCTGAAGAGCCGTGTCATCGAAATCAGAGTAAATTGACAACAAATTGATTGACATTCTCGTTATTAATTGAATGTTTATTGTTTGGGATGAAGACATGCAAAGACACGCCTGATATCAGTTCCATCCAAAAAGCGGCCGATTTTATCAAAGCGTTTATCTTAGGCTTCGAAGTGGAGGACGCGTTGGCTTTGATCCGTTTGGACGAGCTCTTCATCGAGTCGTTTGAGGTCCGCGACGGTGTGTATTGAATGAGATCACAGATGGGAATGTGTGTCACATTTGTTGGTCTCTTTGCAGTGAAACCACTAAAAGGCGATCACTTGTCGCGAGCCATCGGCCGTATCGCCGGAAAGGGCGGAAGGACTAAGTTTACCATTGAAAACGTGACGCGAACTCGCATTGTGTTGGCCGACAGGTTGTCCACCACTTGCCATCACGAGTGCCATTGTCTGTCTATTAACTCACATTTGATTGTTTGCAGTAAAATCCATATATTGGGTTCATATCAGAACACGAGGGCCGCCCGAACAGCCGTTTGTAACCTAATTCTCGGTAGTCCTCCCTCTAAAGTGTACGGAAGTATGAGACAACTGGCCGCCAGACTGTCCGAGAGGTTTTAGAATCATAGCGAAACACATTATGTAAATTTGATTGAGGTTTATGTGTCACGAGTAAACATTTCAATAACCATACAATTTACTTTTCAAATCACAATTTGTGACACAATTTGACCGATTATTGTCTTTGGTATTACCGTTTGTAAAGTTTATTTGAAAATAAAGGATAAATATTTTCATCATTTTTGTAATTTAAAGTTTATATTGTATTTATTAAATGAATTGTTTGCATTCATTTACAGAGCATGTGATGACAACTCAAAAGTGAGAACTTATGGTTCATTTTTCTTAATATTGATTATTATATGAAACACACGAAAGACAGGCACATAAGTGAACTAATTTTCCAATTATACACTAATTGTTTTAAGCAGTTATTATACAGTATAAAGAAATAAGTTTAAGTATAGGTAATATGCCTTAAATATAAAAATAAGACATTAAATTGTATTTTCAGTGACGCGACTATCGATAATATTTATGCGATTTCATAGTTTAGATAGTTTCTTGAGAGTATGTTTTCCAGCATTTGAAGGATTTTATGAAAATGATTTGAATATTATTTACAAAATACTTATTATTAATTTAAAAAATATAATAATTCGTGAAATATATTGACTGCGGCGCCGACAAAAATGCAAAATAATTGTGAAACAAATCACATTTGGTTGCATTTGATTGAAATGACACTTTTAAGCGGTATGTCATATTGGAGGGCCCGATGGCGCAACGGTAGCGCGTCTGACTCCAGATCAGAAGGTTGCGTGTTCAAATCACGTTCGGGTCACGTGTTTTTTGTCGCTTTTTATCTAGTTAAGCTCATTTTTATCAATTTCACACTCATCCAAAATATTTGCATTCATTTTGTGGTTTCCTATACACTTGTATTACAATTAAAGATTGTGTATATAGATCGTATGGAAGTCCTAAATGTATTTTACTTAAACTCCTAGTTTTTTAGACGAGTCTCGCCCTCCCTCTCCCTTACGTCTGAACTTTTCAAATGATTTTTTGTTTTAATTTTATTTAAATATAAAACTCAATTGAATTGATTTAAAATGAGAGCAATTTGTTTATATAATTTTTTTATACACAATTTTATTGCGGAAATTTCAAACGTTTATAGGTTTGTGTTAATTCTAAATAAATATAAATAATAACATGAATGCAATGTTTGGTTCATAAGTTTATGAAACAAATTCTAATTGTGTGTATATACAGTATATAATATTTTACATTTTAAATGTTTTTAATTGTTTCGTATAAAGTTGATATTGTATTATTATTTAATAAATATCTTTAATTATATTTTTGTTGGTATTTGAAAGTTAATTCATAAAAAAATACCTAGAATATTTAGATACCCAAAATTCTCACACTTGTTTAAAACACATTTATTTGTGTGTAAAACAGGAAAATTAAGTTTAATTTATTTAGACATTAAAGGATTGAAACAATTGAATTAAAGTAATATTCATGGGATTGTGTGCTTAAATAGAGTAGTATAGGGAGAGGGATAGGGATAGGGAGAGGAGGAACGGTGTGGTGGACTGGTATGATATGGATTGGTATGAATTGGTATCTCATGGTATGGCATGGAGTGGTGGTGTGTGTGTCCCCCCAAATGAGATGACGTTAGCAGTCGTCCATTGCCCCGAAGCGGAGACAAAACTTGTTTTGATAGCATTTCCCCATTCCCTTCATTCCCTCCTCGTTTCTGTGCCTCAAAAACATAACTTTTCTACTCTTATACTCTCAAAAAGTTTATATGTATTTCTCGCATAGCCTTCAGCGATGAGTGTCAATACATTTAGCGTTGAGTACAGTATTGCCCGCAACAACAACCGCGACATCACTTTTCACTACTCTCTGACCAGTAGTTGCTTTCGAAACAAACTTTTTTATACTTAAAAACTTGTATTTATTGATACATTATATACATATTAACTACGGTTTGCCATTAGTTTTTTGTTTGTTTTCTCCGTAAATTAATTCATTGTTTTTCCGAGTTTTATGTCAAATCACTTCTCAACTCGTCGTTTGCTTTGGAAATAAGTTTTTCAGCAAAAATATACTTAAATTGTTTACGCGGAAAGAGTGTATATGAAAAGTATATAAAAATCATAAGTTTATCAAATTCATATATTGATTGAACTTATTTCTTGTGCACAAGTATTTAACTTAATGTTTAAGTAATAGTTAAGTGTTTTTGAAATGTGAGCCAAAGACCAGAGACTGAAAGGCATGTCTTCATGTCATCT